ACATCTACTTGGCAAATACATGACTTCTTCAACCATTTATTAATTTTGGTTTTAAATCAGCATTTTTCTAAATGTTTACGAACTTAATTATTTTTTCAACTATAAACAGGTGTTAATTTGTTAATAATATACATTTTAAAACAGCGAGCTGTATTTTTAGCACACTTAAATAGAGTATGCAAGAACAGTGCACATTCTTTTATTTCCTTCAATGCGAGGCTTAAGTAATTCTTTTCACTAAAACAGGGGCTTGATTATTTTTTAGAAAAAAAATCCCGAACCCTCTCAAGAAAATCAAAAGGTTGTTTACTTGTATATAATCTCATGTCATCTCGCATGGTGAGCTACAAGGCATGGTCAGTCGATTTCTTTATCAGCAAAAAGACACTTAATCCTATGAAAATCCTAACATATACACTACTCGAAAGAAGTTAAGGACCACCGACTATAGGGGTAAGGACCACCCGATTTTTCATATTTTTGCATACACTATAGTCATCTGTCATTGTATTAACTATAGGGGTAAGGACCACCCGATTTTTCATATTTTTGCATACACTATAGTCATCTGTCATGGTATTAACTATAGGGGTAAGGACCACCCGATTTTTCATATTTTTGCACACACTATAGTCATCTGTCATTGTATTAACTATAGGGGTAAGGACCACCCGATTTTTCATATTTTTGCATACACTATAGTCATCTGTCATGGTATTAACTATAGGGGTAAGGACCACCCGATTTTTCATATTTTTGCATACACTATAGTCATCTGTCATGGTATTAACTATAGGGGTAAGGACCAGCCGATTCTGTCATATTAGGACCAGCCGATTCTTTCATATTACTATAGTCAATCTGTCATAACACCCTATACTTTCACATGACCTTAGATATTCTGTCATATAGTAATATGAAAGAATCGGATGGCCCTTAACGTCTTTTGAGTAGTTTAAATAATGACGGAAAGTCATGCGCTTTTCATAAACGATATTAAAACTCGGCGGAATGGCAAACATTCTTCCTATTTAACACACGACATTTATTTACTGCATAGGTCTCAGAAAACAGTCGTTTTTTGCAGGTGGTTCGATTTTGTTTGCCCCAAAACATCACAATGAAACCTCTTGACATATCGGTGCAAAAGTAAGTAGGTATACTGCGGATGAAATATATCTTACGTCCTGTGAATGTTACCACTACATATAATGCTGCAGTTTTAGTTTTATTTCAAACACTGACCCTATGTTTGTCAGAGTGAGTGAGTATGGTTTTACGTCGCTTTTAGCAATATTCAAGCAATATCACGGCGGGGGACACCAGAAATTGGCTTCACACATTGTACCCATGCATGTCGGGAATCGAACCCGGGTCTTCGGCGTGACGAGCGAACGCTTTAACCACTAGGCTACCCGACCGCCCTATGTTTTTCAGAAAAACACCGGAAACCAAATATAATATAGTACATGTAGATAATATATAGACAATAAGTTTACATGAGAATTTATGTTTTCAGAAAGAGATTACACATATCTATCAATTGTTTAAAGGAAAAGTGTACAATCGCGTTTGATATATACTACTCAAAAGAAAGTAAAGAACACCCGATTCTCCCATTTACACAAGTTAATCTGTCAAGACAGATTAATTATAGTAATATTTAAAAAATCCGATGTTGCTTAACTTTTTTTGTTCTATATTTGGAGTAACGCCACATCAGCAATATCGCACTGCTCGGTGAAAGTCTAAATTGAATTGATACATACATCATGTGCGGGTCGTGTTTCGACGGACCTGTCGTGCAACTCACAGCTGCGCGGAACCTGCTGATAGTGATGACATGTTTACATAACACATGTCAAGTACTATTACACTATGACATTTCAGCGGTGTCAAAGCCTGTGTATGTGGACGGAATGTTTGGACGCTCGACAACAGCAAAGCGTTGTCTGTTGGTTCAAGACCATGTACGAACTGACTTAACACAGGGGAGGTATTTGAATAGTTTGGACAGTTAAGCAACATATTTATTTATTTATTAGATCAATCAGAAAAATGTGGCTTGTTTTGGATGCAGGTCAGATACATGTTTGTTTGTTGTTTATCGCTGCCCTAAGCAGTATGACAGCTATATCACGCCGGTCTGTAAATAATCGAGTATGTACGGGACAATCCAGTTATTGACGTCATGCGCATCGATGAGTGAGTTGGCTTTAACACCGCTTTGAACACTATTCCAGACAGACAGACAGGCAAATATATTCGGTACTTCAGGCCTCCGGCCCATAATACAATGGAAATATACTGTATATATATATTTGCATGCTGAGTAGATTTAATAATGATTTACCGTTCAACACTGTGTTTCCGTTCGAATGTTCATGACTTGGAAAAGAAATTTACCTAAGCTTTTTATAATTTGTTCGTTTTCAGCTGACATAAGTCTTATAAAATTCTCAATAGAGGGAGGGGTAACGAGACGCTTGGGAAAAGAGTTTCTTCTTGCTCTAGAATACCGGTCACAAATCATAAGAACATGGAACACTATTCCAGTTGTATCATATCATGCCAGTTTAATGTATCAGGAAATCCCGAAGTCATGCAGGTCGTTTACCAGACGCGTGAAACCCATGAGCACGAGTATGCTGCAGATAAACCTTGAAACAAAATCTGAGTGAAGCTGGATCCGAACACTATCGTCAGTTTCTGGCGTGACCAAGGGACGCAACTCTGCACAGCACTTTAGACTACTGCGTCACTTATGCCCACTCTAAAGATGGAGTCAGTCACAAAAACCACACCCTGGATTACCCAGAGTATCGCATCTCCATTCTGTACGACAAATACGACTAGTGAAGATCCGGGGTAGAACAGGTTTTCAGCTATCTTTTTTCGGGTGGTCTGGCTCGCTGACTTGGTTGGTGCATGTTATTTTATCCCAATTGGTGGATCAATGATCATGATGCCAATCACTTGATTGTCTGGTCCAGACTCGATTATTAAATAATCATATAGCTGGAATATTGCTGAGTGCGTCGTTAAAAAAAGAAAAAAAGAAAAAAAAGAAGGGACAAATACACTGCACCCATTCGCTAACATGTTGTGTCCCCATTCGTGACCAACTCGTGTTATTCCGGGACAAGCCGAATAGCGATTCTTCTTTCAGGTTACGGAAAGGGGCGAGTGGTGACGAATGGTTGTGTCCCGGAAGTGACATCATCATCGTATCCTCATCCAAATATATACTAACTTAGCACAGAATGTGGCTCGCACATGTGTCATTTGATTGGATGGCTTTTTATGACCTTGTGTCTTTGAATGGTCTCAAATTGATCCTGCCACTGAATCCAGCGTATTTATCAGAATAGAATGGCCATATAATACGCAGGGGAATCCAGGCGGTATGAGAACAAGCTTGGCTGACATTATGTTGTGGGTATGAGTTATCTCCCTTTATTGATACTGATTTCAGAATTTCCCTGCTGCCAAAAGTGTAGATAGGAATACATGATGTAAAGTATTCACAACAAACAAGATGTTAGGGGGTTGTAGTTTGAACTGTGGTTAATGCATTAGCTATAATCACGGTAAGAAGCTATATCGTTTTGTGTCACTTAAAACAATATTCCCACAATATCAGGTGAGTTGAGGTAAAATTTGGTTTAACCTTGTGTTGAAGATTATTGTACTTATATAGCGACCTGCTTGTGTTTGTATGTGTTGTCTGCTTGTAGTTATATATTTTCTTTATGGTGCTAGCCCACTGAGATACCATGCCGCAATTTAACATGGATATCCTACTCAGACACAGTATACTAGCTTACGGACAAGTCCTTGTCTTATCCCCTTAATGGCAAACCGCAGGCAGAGTAATAACAAGTACCATCTTTTTAGCCTCTTTTGGTATAAGGCAGCCAGTCCCATCACCTACATTCCACTCTCTGATGCACTACCAGACAGGGATCAGCATGACTGGTCTTCACAAGGTACATTGAAAAAGCAAACTCTGTTTTCTGAATGGCTAAGTCAGGAATTTGAAAAAGGGGGCGCCCACAACCCACAACCAAGTTTTTGTTTGTTTAAAGTTTAACACCACACTCAGCAATATTCCAGCTATATGACCGAGGACTGGAAATAATTGAGTCTGGACCTGAATCCAGGGTTTGATTATCACGTTTTTTTATTTTATCGATTCACGGGCCCGCCACCCTGATGGAAAAGCAAAGCAACTGGAAAAAAACCATAACAAGCATATAGTCAACGAAGTCATCTATATCCCCCGCCCATTTTAACACATGGTCCTAAACCAGGTAACTGACCCAACATTTCTCTTCGCCAATGTCAAAATAGCTGCAATGGAAATTCTAAAATAAACATTTCTAAAACTCCTTAATATCAAATTGCACCAGTTCAGTCTGTGCTTTATATATAGACATTCAAGGTTTGGCAAGGAAATATTTAACACTTTATTTGTTATAAGTATTTAACTGTTTTTGAGTTACGCTTCGGAAACAAACACCCCCTTTATAGAACCTAAGTCCAACTTGTTGCCATGGAAACGTAAAAAATATAAATTTCTAAAATTCCTAAATAGCAAAAGGCACCAGTTCAGTATGTGCCTAGTAGACATGCAAAGTTTTGTAAGAAAATATTGAAAAGGTTTTGAGTTATGCTCCGGAAACGAACTCTGCCCTATAGAAACTAAGTCCAACTTGTTGCCATGGAAACATAAAAAATAAAATTTTATAAAATTCATAAATAGCAAAAGGCACCAGTTCAGCATGAGTCTGATAGACATGCAAAGGTTTGTAGAGAAATGTTTAACAGTTTCTTAGTTATGCTCGGATGGACGAACGGACAGTTGGGGTGGGGGGTAAAAATATTTATTTTGTCTCCTGCTAGTTATATAGACCCTCAATAAAAATGTTATATATTTCTCCCCCCACCACAGCCACCCCCAGGATCGGTACATCGTAAAGAACAAGAGTACAATTGAGCACTGTATAACTATTTATTAAACTCTTTCATAAATACAACATCTGTAAAATGTCAAAAACATAAAACTACAAGAGACCAAATGTGGTATGCCAGAGCTTCAGGACATATTGCATGAATACAAGAAGGCATAGATGGGTATCACAGTCCTATATACTTAACACATACAAGCTCAAGAGAGAGGACAATTGTTTAAATGCTTGCAGCCATCAGACCACAATGTCCTTAAACAATTTGATCAGCTACTTTTCAAAACAGAACACTGATTACAATGTCTAGATTTTCCTGACCTAGGCTAGAACAAGTCTGGTCCCTGACCTAGGCTAGAACAGGATGTCTTACCTACACAGGGTGCCTGACCTAGACATGCTCCCTGACCTAAATTAGAACAGGGTGCCTGACCTACACATGGTGCTTGATCTAGACATTTTCCCTGACCTAGGCTAGAACTGGGGTCCATGATCTAGACTTGGCCAGAGACATGTCTTAAAATCAGAAACTTAAATTGGAAGATATAATAATTTTGGTACTGGCTGTTTGGAGAATAGGAAAGTTTCACACAACATAAACATATTACTGTTAAGTTATACATAGTAACAAAGACATATATACAGATATAACAATCCTTATTGATATGGTTTGCATATCATCATTGTTATTTTCTTAATTATCAGTTATTATTTCAGAATCACAGATTACAAAAAAACCCACAAAGACTGCCCCCCAGGGAGGTGCAATCTTCTTTCTGCATAACAAAATAACAATACGAACACAGGTTAGGAATTTGTCCACACTTTCATACACACATCACTTTCATTTTGTACAGCTTAACAATGGTCCATATACATGTAGAATATAAAACAAAACTGAAGTAAAAAATATGTTATGTGGTCTTCTTTGTGACAGGGTATAAGGGATTTATTCTCCCACTCAGACATCTATTTCCCTCCCAGGCGGGATACATCACATGAACCAATCAGATCTCGTCATTCTACATGGAGGTATGAAAAGTTGTTTTAAGTGTCCCTCAGCCTTTGGTATAAAACCTAACGTGGGACACATTAAACCACAAGTACCCTTGATATTGCAACAACTCCTAACATACAAGGTATTCAAGGGACACAATTTCAAACAATATATGTAATTATGTCCAACAATATCATATGTATAAATTTGTTTGGTTCATTTAAAAAAAAAATGTTTTTCAACGGTTTATCATTTTTTTTCAGCCCTTGTTTGAAATGAAGTTTGCAAATTATTCCCTGAAAATTATGTGTGTAAATTGTGAATGTCATGTTTGTTAACTACATGAAATGGTAAACAAATAAACCTTAAAGAAAGTTGAACCATTGATCAGTTTCTCTACCAACATACAATTTAATCTGCCCAAATGGAACTGGTTCACAACACATCATTAGTACTGTCCTGACATATCAGTGTCCATCATATAAATAAAATGTTTGTTCCATACAGCGTCATAAGCATACAACAGTATTTGGACTCTCGCAGACATTGTTTTAATGAAATACATCGCTTGCACTTCCTGACGTACTCATCAGGAAGCTGGAGAGAATGTGTTGGCGATACAGCAGCTATAACAATGTCCTGTAATGCTCTTACTTCATTTTTATCATGGCATGTTGGGTTAATGTGGGAGGAAAGGCCAAAGTGATAGCTTGACCTTTACCACTTTGATGACAGCTCCGTGCTGACAAATCAGGGTGAGTCCTAGGATTGGGGCACGCCTAAGTCATGCAACACTGTGCATCACATCACAGAAGGAATATTAAATAAATCTTACATTATATATATTATTATGAATATTAAGAACAAAAATTGTATCATGAGCATAATACATATTTCATATTCTTATAATATGATATTTATGATATATGTAAGTACACAAGGGTAATAATCTCTTTATCACATCATGTAATCCTTAAAAAAAATGAAGTTTAAGACTCTTGAAAATGCATAATAATAGGAATACAGAGTGAACAGCACCTTTTATGATCTAAAGGTTGCAGCCATGTTTGTTTACATAAGCCTTCACACATCGGGAAACCATTATCTGATCATACAGGGAACGTTAAGCAATAGTGTTTGAGGGAGTAAGCCCCATATCTATCTATGTACAGACCTTACTAAAGGTAGGTGACCTAGTAGGTGCTAGGTGACCTCATTTACACTAACCCTTATATGATAAATATATATCATTGAAAGAAATAGTTCTTGTAACAAAAGTCAACAAACTAGGTTCTATAGCAAGTGGATGTTTTACCATGAACTAAGTAATGTAGATCTGTCTACTTCTGGAACTCAGTGATCTTGATTGAGTATGTACTTTATTCTTGCTTTCTTAAGTTTCTGTTTTGAATCATAATGCTATTGTGTTATACTGTACAGAAAGTGAGTGGATGTGAGTGTGAATGAGTGTCGGTCAATGTCCATTTAAAAAAAATATCGGAGTCCACCAAGTCCATACCTCTAACATCAATCTAACTGTTCATACAAGTATCATTTTGCATAACAATAGTTCTGATATTCATTTAATAACTTTACTTGAGTTTTCTAAAATTTCAGTAAATCTTTTCTACCTGGGACCAGGCACCACCCTGGGTGTCTGGTCTTATTTATAACATGGACTCAGAAAACAAATATCAATTAAAAAAAATATATGATAAATGTATTTAACTATGTACAAGTACATCGACTCAACCAGTCATATACAAGCTGTGTTGACAGTGCTCGGAAGCTCAGGTGTGTAACTTGACTTAAACTTGAAGATAAATGACGGGGGTTTACTGACCACACATCGTAGTTTGTTCTCGAATGTCACACTCTGCATATATCAGCAATATGATGGTGGCTTGGAAATAATCAAGCTTGAACCAGCGAACCAGTGATTGATATCAAGAGCAATGATCATTACCAGTGGGGTAGTTTAACATGCTATCCCATGGGCGGATACAGAGGGGGGTGCGCACCCCCCCTTTTTATTTCGAAAAAAATCTTTATTTCTGTATAAATTACCACCAAAGACAATAAATAGATCTTAATTGTGCACCCCTCCTTTTAAAAAAAAGCTGTATCCGCCCAGGTATCCACCCAGTCATCAAGCCTGACTACCATATCCATTCAGTTGTCTCTCACTACAAGCCTAGGTTGCTGGGGGCCAGTTCTAGCCTGGAATCCACTCTGGGTGTCCCATCTTAGACTTATTGAGTTTGCTAGACAATACTATACTCTAGGCTATACTGAACAACACATTTTTACATCACTCAAGAACATTTGACAAAACTATACAAAACCATTTGCACTCAACAATAAAGAAATAAAACTTAGTAGAAAATATGTGCATAACAATTGCAGTTACAATGAAGTTTGTTCCTTTATAAAACAGAATATATTTTGTTCAATACCATGATCACACATATATATATAAGATTATGAGCTGCAAAAAGGCAGGTTGTCATGACGATAACAGCATTGTCAACCCTTCACAGCTATGTTCCTCCATCACTCGTGAGTCCACTTGTCAGAATTGCCGTGTAATCACTTTTTTTAACCCAGGGATCCATCCCCAGTTCAGACCAATGAGTAACCCATAATGGGATGTCCTCAGATCTTTGTTTAGCGGCAGCGAGAACCTAGATCTTATTTTAATGAGATTGGCAATGTTTCTGGCTTGATATCGTGTGTCGTATCGCTACATATTGCTTCAATGTCAGGCAATGGTAGGGTTCACACAAAGTTTATGCACAATGTAGAGTTTACTTGATTTTTCGTGAGTTATACACGGCCTCATTTCATACAAGTCTGGCCCAGTGTATTCACCGGGGATGGAGAAATGTAGTCCGTCAAGTATTGACTACAACAACACCGATGAAAAATAACAACAGTAATTGTAAACCTAAAGGAGGAAATAACAACATGTACAAATATATACATGAATGAGTACACAGGACTATTGTGAATACATCCAGGTTTCCGTAGCTAAAGATGAAAAGACAAATATGCACACACCTGATAAATTACGATGGGACTATTTCTTGTTAAGTGATATGATGATTTTATCCATTTGAATCTCGATAACACATCCTCGACTGTCCAGGTGTATGTGGCAACACGTCTTCTACTGTCTAGATGTATATAGACTCCCAAAACGTCCTCCACTGTCTAGATGTATATAGACTCCCAACACGTTCACTACTGTCTAGATGTATAAAGACTCCCAACACGTTCACTACTGTCTAGATGTACATGGGCTCCCAACACGTTCACTACTGTCTAGATGTATATAGACTCCCAACACGTTCACTACTGTCTAGATGTATAGAGACTCCCAACACATCCTCGACTGTCCAGGTGTATATGGGAACAGGTCTTCTACTGTCTAGATGTATATAGACTCCCAACACGTCCTCGACTGTCTAGATGTATGTAGACTCGCAACACGTTCACTACTGTCCAGGCTTATAAGGGTTATGGTCAGTGCTCTTCATCGATGCCAGTGTGTGGTTGACCAGTCGGTGGTGAGCTTCGTCCGCCCGTATTGCCAGAATCACATCCCTCATGGTGGCATCAGACTGCAACACAGTCGAAACTATATGAAGTAAGGCTGGCTAAACAGATTGATAATCAGAGCGATTGTAGATGGGTGGAAATATTAACAATTATCGATATGAAAATGTTGTTATTGATAATAACTCACGTTAACTTTGTGATGAAATAAAGTTTAGATTTACTGAAACAGACTTGTCATTGTGAATAATGTCAACTGTTGAAGACAGAAAGCAACTGTTTTTGTTATATCTCAAATGTCCACAAAGTAATCCCTGCATAAATGTGTCACTGTTCAGTGGCTTGAAATATGTTGATTTCTTTCGGGACTTTCTTGCATACTAGCTAAAAGTTCCTTCTCCAATATTTATCGATAACGAACTGATATTTACTTAGCGATTATCGATCTCTATGATCCATATCAATAGCCAGCCCCAATATGAGGTGCTGTTGTACTGTTTATTCTGATTTTATGATATTTTATGTCTACCCATTTTGAATGCAAAATTCTAAATGTAAATCTTTTCAGAAATATGTCCAGTTTATTAAGGCATCGACTACTCTGTGCAGTCCTTTGGGTGCAGCCATTATCACCATGACTCCTTACCCCCAACTTCCAGTACCTCACTGCAACATCTGGCGCTGCCTGGGTTTTCCAGTGAGACATTGGACCGTTATCTATATCCTGCAATAAACAAAACACATAGATCATACCGCGGTACTTACAGAGGAGGTCTTCTAATACACTGTAATTGGTTGACCTCCTGACAGAACCATCACCTGCACAATATGCCTTTATCTGAATGTTCCAGTCCCACAAAGTTATCTCAGTGCTACATTTGTGTTTGAGCTATGTTAAATAGTTTTTAACTGATTTTCTTAGTGCTAAGGTCTCTTTGTAGAAGATCACACAGTTCCACAAGGTGAGAATGGAGCTAGAAGTTTCCCAAGTGCTAAGTGTGTGTATGTGTGTATGTGAGTGTGCGTGTGAGTGTGAGTGCGTGCGAGCGTGTGTCTGTGTTTGTTTGTATGTGTATGTTTGTGTGTCTGTTTTGTATTTGTATGTGTTTTTGTGTGTGTTTCTGTGTGTTTGTGTGTGTGTTTGTTTATTGTTTCACACCACACTTAACAATATTCCAGCTATATGGGACCCGTGAAGATTCCGGGGTAGAATAGGTCTTCAGCAACCCATACTTGCCGTAAAAGGTGACTTTGCTTGTCGTAAAAGGCGACTAACGGGATCGGGTGGTCAGGCTCGCTGACTTGGTTGATACATGTCATCGATCCCAATTGCGTGGATTGATGCTCATGGTGTCAATCACTGGATTGTCTGGTCCAGACTCGATTATTTTACAGACCACCGTCATATAGCTGGAATATTACTGAGTGCAGCATAAAACAACAAACCAACCAAAACCAACCAAAACCAACCAGCTATATGATGGTGGCCTTGTTCCGAACATTGGCTAACAATAAACATCACTTTGATGCTAACTGAGAGAGTCAAGTGCACACAAAGGTCAACAGCATAAACACCTGTATGAAATCTCCTTCATGGCTCCTGTGACAAAAAAATATGACAGACAGATGGACCGACACATAAACTGACACGAGCAGTCACACAGAGGAAACTATCCCACTATCAACCTGTGGTTTGTCTGGGCCAATTAAGATATAAATTCACTTACTAACTCTGCATAATTAAAAACAAACAGCAACCAAACAGATGAAAACTGGCCTCACCTCAAGACACTTGGTGTATGTTTTAACAGCCTCCTCTTCAAGGTAACCGACGAAGCGATGACAAAACCGGGGGCTGAAGACATATGCGGCACTAAACATGGTCACAAACACACCTACAACATATCAGAAGTTAAATGAACACTAAATACATCCATGCAACTAATAAACATACCATGCAACTCTATCATACAGTTAAAAGTGTCATGGATGTGACAGACCAGTCAAATAAACTTGGCATCACGATCAGACGGTCACTCAGCAGGAACTTCTTTTAAGAAATCTAGACACAGATATGATGCCATCGTGCTCAAACCCTCAGTATGATATTCCACAAATGGTGCCAAACATTAACAAATTGTATTACTTCCCATGCTTTCATATCTCGTCTTGCTATCATCCTGTGATATAACTGAAAAACTCTGCTAATTAAGAGATTCAAACCTTAGTACGGTAGTTAAGAAAACCTAGCACTTACCCTGTGAGCCAATGACAGCAAGTCGGAAGAAGATAGTCGGTTGTTTCAACTGCAGCGCTGTGAGAAGATGCATCCTTTCATTTTCTGCTTCCTCTGGAAGAACAAATTCAGGAGTGAGTGAGTGAGTGAGTGAGTGAGTATGGTTTTACGCCGCTTTAAGCAATATTGCAGCAATATCACGGCAGGGGACACCAGAAATGAGCTACACACATTGTACGCATGTGGGGAATCGAACCCAGGTCTTCGGCGTGACGGAGTTCAGGAATGATACAAGGAAAGAAAGAAATACTTATCTGGTGAAACGGTGATTGGAAATTTACACTGACTGATGAATAACAAAATCCAGGGATTGGGAGATGAACAGGGAGAGTCGTTATTACATGTAGAACATGCTGTCATATTTCTAGCTACATACATGTCAACACAGGAGAAACATCGATGCGGATGTACCTAGTAGTGTGTGGATCCACCCATAATCTCTCTGCATCATCCTCAGTGACTTCATGTGCCGCGCCATCGCCGCCACCATCCCAGGAACACCAGCGACCGTCTCCAGGAAACAGATTCTCCTGTATAACATTTATATCTATGGCATAAACACACATTTTGGTGTTATGACAATGGTGTTAATATTGAACAAATTTCAATAATATCATTCGCTGTGTAGGTATTTGAATACACCATAATCTGGCATCACCTTTTCTTTGATAGATAACTTGATGACCTGTTTAAACTGACAAATTAATGACCACACAATGCCATTTAGAAAGTGGTCAAAGTAAAGTAAAGTACAGATTCTCATACTTTTTGGGGTCAAGTCAAGTCCCTTTCCACACAGAGTCAGTCAGCAATCTAACCTACTCAGCCATCGAGGCTTCCACAAAAGTGAAAGTCTGACAACTGGTAGTCTAGATCACATACTTTGTGTACCCCTCTGATAAGAGTAAATTGGCACGGCTCCCATGGCCGAGAGCTATGAAAACACAATGCCACTTGCCAGAGGGGTACACAAAGTATGTGATCTAATCATCCTTGTGATCGAGTGATACAACATTCCAATGCTCTTCAATGTCAATAAGAACCATCAATGCACCATGAAATATAAGGTATATTAGGAATAATAGATTTTCAAGGTGTACTTACGTAAGCCATTTCTTTTCATTCCGCTCCCCAAATATAAACCCTGAAAAGATGTCAAACCCTTTTCTGAACACCTTGACAGTAAACAAGGCCATCTGAAAAATAAAACAAAAAACATTTCAAATGTTGCTCCAGACTAATTCTTTGCTTATAGTTGAAAGATCTCATCAATATATGGTGCATGTATTTCATATGTAACCTTATTTTAAAAACTGAAGTTTAGCTTGTAATAGACCACAAATGAAAGATTATCAATGATGTTCATATGTACAGTCATCTTTGTCCTTGACAATAAAATTATAACAGAAATATCCTTTTGAGTCCTTTAAAAGAGGACTGCCTCCGTGGTCTAGTGGTAGAGCATCCACCCGGAGAGCGGAAGGTCCGGGGTTCGATCCCCGGCCGCGTCATACCAAAAGACGTTAAAAGATGGTACTTGTTGTTACCCTGTCTGGCGCTCGGCATTAAGGGGCTAAAACAAGGACTGGTCGGCTCAGAGTCAGTATACTGTGTCTGAGTGGGGTATTCATGTTAAACTGCGGCATGGTATCTCAGTGAGCTAGCACTATAAATCGGCATCAGTCCGGACTAGTACAAGCAGCCGGACAAACACACACACTTATACATGCACATTGCTATATAAGTGCAATAATCTTGGACGCGACGTTAAACCCCATTTCACCACCACCTTTAAAAGTACTAAGACGTTTGATCATGGGAGATAACTCTCACCTTCTCCACCTTTCCCTCCGGGGGCTTGTGGGTTATTTCCACCTGATGTAGATGTGCTTCATCCCTGCAGAAAAACAACGATCATGATCAAGATATATCTACACATAAGGGCTTGGCGATACACAGTCACGATATTATATGTACCATGTTGAATGTACCATATGTTGAATGATGAATGTTCAATGTAGTCAAAGATTCTGTGATGCACTGGTGTCCTGTTCAAAGCCACATGATGAGCTGGGTACTAATACCTGTGTTTGTTTGTTGTTTAAATCCGCACTCAGCAACATAATAACCATGTGACTCTTAGGTCTTGTTGTTTCATAGAAAGTGAGGGGCGGTCGGGTAGCCTAGTGGTTAAAACGTTCGCTCGTCACGCCGAAGACCCGGGTACAATGTGTGAAGCCCATTTCTGGTGTCCCCCGCCGTGATATTGCTGAAATATTGCTAAAAGCGGCGTAAAATCAAACTCACTCACTCACTCATAGAAAGTGTCGAAAACAATCAATCAAAACGCCTCTTGTGAAGGTCATCATTGATATAGTGGCCCCTCAATTTATCTAATCGAAGGTTGTTATGAGGAACTTTTAGCTTCAAACAATGTTCTCCTGATTATTAAGACACAGGGAGGGATGTCCTACAATACGTTCCTAGCTGTATTTGACATGATGGGCAGTGGGGTAGTCTGGTAGTTGAAGCGTTCACTTGTAACGCCAAAGATCCAGGTTCGATTCCCCATATGGGTACAATGTGTGAAGCCCATTTCTGGTGTCCCCCACCGTGATTTTACTGGAATATTGCTAAAAGTTGCGTAAAACCTTACTCACTCACTCACTCACTATTTGACATGGCACACCACAAGGTGAGAGTGCTGGTGACATCTCGACGGCCATATTGAAGGTCATGTAATTAGAACTGACTCAAAAAAAGCTACGTGAACGATCCAGGGTGGATATCATAATAGAATTGAGATGCACTGGCTAATGAAGGTCAGACCGACAGACACAGGCAGACAGAGACAGACAGACAGACAGACAGGGACAGACACAGATGGACAGACAGACAGATACAGACAGACAGACAGACAGGGACAGACACAGATGGACAGACAGAGACAGATGGATGGACAGACAGACAGATAGACAGCTAGGGACGAAGGGGGTGGTTCGACATCTTCATACCATATAGGATGGGGCATGGTGTACATTCCGATGGGAGGCTTCTCGGACAAAGGGTCACCTTTCCCAGACCTGTCAAAACATGAATGTCATAATTAGAGAAAAGGCATTAATGTTGGGAATGTCACTGCTACCTGTTTTCATTGAACTAAGTTACCATGGAAACAGTATATTCTTTGAAATCTTACATCTGTTGATGAACGTTACCATCATGGTGATACAGCTATGCATGGTTGTGTATTGAGGTATTAAACACATACTTAGGATATTTTCACTTTCCTAAAAAAAAAATCATAAATATAAATGTTAAACTTATTTCGTACACCACTAAAATACCGGTAGATATAACTGACAGTTCAAAATAAAAAAGTCTTAAAAAGTATATGTTTTTGTTGTGACACATGCAGCCACCAAGTCTCTCACAGACAGATATATGAAGCAGATCCTGAACGTTGGTGTAGCAGGATACCTATTTATTCTGAACAGTATCGCCCACCCATCTTATGATATTCAGATCATTCACTCCGATGCAATACCTCTCTGCATGAAGATCAGATGATGCCTCCACAGCAGATCGCATCAGGTGAACACCGAATGAACTTTGATGCCAAATCTAAATGAAGGATGCATGTTTTTTTAGCCAATCAGATGTCAGCTTTCCAAAACATTCAGCTTTGTTCCTGGCCACCTCATTTTAGAAATTGTGATCTCAGTGATAGGAACCAGTCACAGAACACAAGGATTCCCTCGCTAGTCGACAATTTTGGGCATTGATGCCAAGGTGCTCAGAAACAACAGGATGCATAAATATCCATATTATAATAGCATGCCCTTTTTTTTTTTTTCATTCAGAACTCCTTGGTCATATTTGATTTTGAGATACAGAAATGATTGGTTGATGGCTCCTATAGAGGTGTGTGTCCTCAGACCTTCAGATACCAATGTGATACATGTTCCCCCAGACGTTGATGCCACACTGAGTCCCCCTGACATCACACTGTGTACACTGAATACCTTTTATACAACATCTGCATTTTCTGCCACAAATTCTTCACATTTTGTGATATTGTGAAGCTTTGATATTAACAATCACACCAAAACATAACCTAAAACCTTTTGCTAGTCGATGAAAGATAACAATACTATAACATTATTCAGAAATGTATCAACTTACCTAAAGTGTTCAAGATGAGTTGGATCCGGCATTTTGTCAAATTTTCCTTCCTTGAAATTTTTGATATTTTCCTGAACATCTTTGTCTGTTGCCAGGCGACGAGTAAACACCTGAGAGAAACAAACGCCATCAAAACACATCCTTACTTTGTTTCCATGGACTTTTTAGTAACACTTTAGAGTAATTCAAAGACAGAAATTACAAAGGCATGATGTCATCACAATATCATGGAAATAGCTGTTGGATTGGAATTCTAGGAGTTGGTGAGTAAGTAAGAAAACGTACAACTATATGGATAACAGCGCCTGGTTTACTGCATATAGTGATGTTTCAATGTAGATTCTTACACTGTTATCAAGCTGGGGTATTGCATATAGCCACCTTTCGATGTAGATTCTTACACTGTTATCAAGCTGGGGTATTGCATATGGCCACGTTTCGATGTAGATTCTTACACTGTTATCAAGCTGGGGTATTGCATATAGAAACATTTCAATGTTGATTCTTACACTGTTATCAAGCTGGGGTATTGCATATAGCCAAGTTTTGATGTAGATTCTTGCACTGTTATCAAGCTGGGGTATTGCATATAGCCACGTTTTGATGTAGATTCTTGCACTGTTATCAAGCTGGGGTATTGCATATAGCCACGTTTCAATGTAGATTCTTACACTGTTATCAAGCTGGGGTATTGCATATAGCCACGTTTCAATGTAGATTCTTACACTGTTATCAAGCTGGGGTATTGCATATAGCCACGTTTCAATGTAGATTCTTACACTGTTATCAAGCTGGGGTATTGCATATAGCCACGTTTTAATGTAGATTCTTACACTGTTATCAAGCTGGGGTATTGCATATAGCCACGTTTCAATGTAGATTCTTACACTGTTATCAAGCTGGGGTATTGCATATAGCCACGTTTCAATGTAGATTCTTACACTGTTATCAAGCTGGGGTATTGCATATAGCCACGTTTCAATGTAGATTCTTACACTGTTATCAAGCTGGGGTATTGCATATAGCCACGTTTTAATGTAGATTCTTACACTGTTATCAAGCTGGGGTATTGCATATAGCCACGTTTCAATGTAGATTCTTACACTGTTATCAAGCTGGGGTATTGCATATAGCCACGTTTCAATGTAGATTCTTACACTGTTATCAAGCTGGGGTATTGCATATAGCCACGTTTCAATGTAGATTCTTTCACTGTTATCAAGCTGGGGTATTGCATATAGCCACGTTTCAATGCAGATTCTTACACTGTTATCAAGCTGGGGTATTGCATATAGCCACGTTTCAATGTAGATTCTTACACTGTTATCAAGCTGGGGTTCTGCATATAGCCATGTTTCAATGTAGATTCTTACACTGTTATCAAGCTGGGGTATTGCATATAGCCACGTTTCAATGTAGATTCTTACACTGTTATCAAGCTGGGGTATTGCATATAGCCACGTTTCAATGTAGATTCTTACACTGTTATCAAGCTGGGGTATTGCATATAGCCACGTTTCAATGTAGATTCTTACACTGTTATCCAGCTGGGGTATTGCATATGGCCATGTTTCAATGTAGATTCTTACACTGTTATCAAGCTGGGGTATTGCATATAGCCACGTTTCAATGTAGATTCTTACACTGTTATCAAGCTGGGGTATTGCATATAGCCACGTTTCAATGTAGATTCTTACACTGTTATCAAGCTGGGGTATTGCATATAGCCACGTTTCAATGTAGATTCTTTCACTGTTATCAAGCTGGGGTATTGCATATAGCCACGTTTCAATGCAGATTCTTACACTGTTATCAAGCTGGGGTATTGCATATAGCCACGTTTCAATGTAGATTCTTACACTGTTATCAAGCTGGGGTTCTGCATATAGCCATGTTTCAATGTAGATTCTTACACTGTTATCAAGCTGGGGTATTGCATATAGCCACGTTTCAATGTAGATTCTTACACTGTTATCAAGCTGGGGTATTGCATATAGCCACGTTTCAATGTAGATTCTTACACTGTTATCCAGCTGGGGTATTGCATATGGCCACGTTTCAATGTAGATTCTTACACTGTTATCAAGCTGGGGTATTGCATATAGCCACGTTTCAATGTAGATTCTTACACTGTTATCAAGCTGGGGTATTGCATATAGCCACGTTTCAATGTAGATTCTTACACTGTTATCAAGCTGGGGTATTGCATATAGCCACGTTTTAATGTAGATTCTTACACTGTTATCAAGCTGGGGTATTGCATATAGCCACGTTTCAATGTAGATTCTTACACTGTTATCAAGCTGGGGTATTGCATATAGCCACGTTTCAATGTAGATTCTTACACTGTTATCAAGCTGGGGTATTGCATATAGCCACGTTTCAATGTAGATTCTTTCACTGTTATCAAGCTGGGGTATTGCATATAGCCACGTTTCAATGCAGATTCTTACACTGTTATCAAGCTGGGGTATTGCATATAGCCACGTTTCAATGTAGATTCTTACACTGTTATCAAGCTGGGGTTCTGCATATAGCCATGTTTCAATGTAGATTCTTACACTGTTATCAAGCTGGGGTATTGCATATAGCCACGTTTCAATGTAGATTCTTACACTGTTATCAAGCTGGGGTATTGCATATAGCCACGTTTCAATGTAGATTCTTACACTGTTATCAAGCTGGGGTATTGCATATAGCCACGTTTCAATGTAGATTCTTACACTGTTATCCAGCTGGGGTATTGCATATGGCCATGTTTCAATGTAGATTCTTACACTGTTATCAAGCTGGGGTATTGCATATAGCCACGTTTCAATGTAGATTCTTACACTGTTATCAAGCTGGGGTATTGCATATAGCCACGTTTCAATGTAGATTCTTACACTGTTATCAAGCTGGGGTATTGCATATAGCCACGTTTCAATGTAGATTCTTTCACTGTTATCAAGCTGGGGTATTGCATATAGCCACGTTTCAATGCAGATTCTTACACTGTTATCAAGCTGGGGTATTGCATATAGCCACGTTTCAATGTAGATTCTTACACTGTTATCAAGCTGGGGTTCTGCATATAGCCATGTTTCAATGTAGATTCTTACACTGTTATCAAGCTGGGGTATTGCATATAGCCACGTTTCAATGTAGATTCTTACACTGTTATCAAGCTGGGGTATTGCATATAGCCACGTTTCAATGTAGATTCTTACACTGTTATCCAGCTGGGGTATTGCATATGGCCACGTTTCAATGTAGATTCTTACACTGTTATCAAGCTGGGGTATTGCATATAGCCACGTTTCAATGTAGATTCTTACACTGTTATCAAGCTGGGGTATTGCATAGTGCCACGTTTCAATGTAGATTCTTACACTGTTATCAAGCTGGGGTATTGCATATAGCCACGTTTCAATGTAGGTTCTTACACTGTTATCAAGCTGGGGTATTGCATATAGCCACGTTTCAATGTAGATTCTTTCACTGTTATCAAGCTTGGGTATTGCATATAGCCACGTTTCAATGCAGATTCTTACACTGTTATCAAGCTGGGGTATTGCATATAGCCACGTTTCAATGTAGATTCTTACACTGTTATCAAGCTGGGGTATTGCATATAGCCATGTTTCAATGTAGATTCTTACACTGTTATCAAGCTGGGGTATTGCATATAGCCACGTTTCAATGTAGATTCTTACACTGTTATCAAGCTGGGGTATTGCATATAGCCATGTTTCAATGTAGATTCTTACACTGTTATCAAGCTGGGGTATTGCATATAGCCCCGTTTCAATGTAGGTTCTTACACTGTTATCAAGCTGGGGTATTGCATATAGCCCCGTTTCAATGTAGATTCTTACACTGTTATCAAGCTGGGGTATTGCATATAGCCCCGTTTCAATGTAGATTCTTACACTGTTATCAAGCTGGGGTATTGCATATAGCCATGTTTCAATGTAGATTCTTACACTGTTATCAAGCTGGGGTATTGCATATAGCCACGTTTCAATGTAGATTCTTACACTGTTATCAAGCTGGGGTATTGCATATAGCCACGTTTCAATGTAGATTCTTACACTGTTATCAAGCTGGGGTATTGCATATAGCCATGTTTCAATGTAGATTCTTGCACTGTTATCAAGCTGGGGTATTGCATAGTGCCACGTTTCAATGTAGATTCTTACACTGTTATCCAGCTGGGGTATTGCATAGTGCCACGTTTCAATGTAGGTTCTTACACTGTTATCAAGCTGGGGTATTGCATATAGCCACGTTTCAATGTAGATTCTTACACTGTTATCAAGCTGGGGTATTGCATATAGCCATGTTTCAATGTAGATTCTTACACTGTTATCAAGCTGGGGTATTGCATAGTGCCACGTTTCAATGTAGATTCTTACACTGTTATCAAGCTGGGGTATTGCATATAGCCATGTTTCAATGTAGATTCTTACACTGTTATCAAGCTGGGGTATTGCATAGTGCCACGTTTCAATGTAGATTCTTACACTGTTATCCAGCTGGGGTATTGCATAGTGCCACGTTTCAATGTAGGTTCTTACACTGTTATCAAGCTGGGGTATTGCATATAGCCACGTTTCAATGTAGATTCTTACACTGTTATCAAGCTGGGGTATTGCATATAGCCATGTTTCAATGTAGATTCTTACACTGTTATCAAGCTGGGGTATTGCATAGTGCCACGTTTCAATGTAGATTCTTACACTGTTATCAAGCTGGGGTATTGCATATAGCCATGTTTCAATGTAGATTCTTACACTGTTATCAAGCTGGGGTATTGCATAGTGCCACGTTTCAATGTAGGTTCTTACACTGTTATCAAGCTGGGGTATTGCATAGTGCCACGTTTCAATGTAGATTCTTACACTGTTATCCAGCTGGGGTATTGCATAGTGCCACGTTTCAATGTAGGTTCTTACACTGTTATCAAGCTGGGGTATTGCATAGTGCCACGTTTCAATGTAGATTCTTACACTGTTATCAAGCTGAGGTATTGCATAGTGCCACGTTTCAATGTAGATTCTTACACTGTTATCAAGCTGGGGTATTGCATATAGCCATGTTTCAATGTAGATTCTTACACTGTTATCAA